GAAAAAGCTACAAGAACTCCAGTCTGGAGTGGTCAGGACATGTGGAAGCAGGGGAATTTTTCTTCCCAGCTGGGATTGAGAGTGCAATTTCACACTCCTTTGGAGAACATTAACTGAGACATCCCATTTCTGCCCAGGGATCTCCCAGGGGGAACTCAATCCGGGCTCTGGGCAGGTCCCTGGAGGGGCAGCAGCTTCCTCTGCACATTTGAGGAGATAAAGCTGCTCTAACCCTGCACTCCAACTACTCCACAGCAATTTAGGACCTCTGAGGACAGTTCCCCACTGTTTCCACCCCAGCAGAGACCTGAACACATCCTGTGGGCACTGTGTGACCACCCCTGGCATTAACACCCTGCAGGAATGAAGACACTGACTGTAAATACACTTGTCTACCTGTAAACCTCAACTTTGTTTGCTACTATACAGCAATAACATTTTCTATTCGTGTTGCAGCTACAGACTTAATAAATAGAATTGCACATATTGTGCTTTAGAAATTAAAATGCATTCCAAAGTCAGGCAATGCTAAACAATGAAAGTCTTGAACCCTCCCCCCAAACCAGCCCCACTTTCTGGTTTCAGAACCAGCCCACTTCCTCACTCTCTTCACAAAGGGAGAAACTCTCTCTTTCCACCTCTGAAACAAAAATTCCCTCCCCAGAAGTGATCAAAAAGAGTCTACTTAGGCACTACTGCAAATGGAAGTTGTCTAATAACCATTACCTCTAACTCAGGAAGGGGAGAAGGTGAAGAAAGTCACGACAAATGTTTGGATTCCTTCCTCTTTGATGTCTTCTCTTCCCTATCTGACGCTCTGGGACATGTGCAGGGGGGTCAGCACCTCTTCAGAGATGGTTCCTTTCACATTAGAGCCCCTCAAATTGGCTTCCTGGAGGTCACAACCTGATAGGTCACGATTCAGAAGGGCAAAAGAAAAAGAAGTGTCAATGGAATGCACCCAGAACTCTGTTCAAAGCTTTACTTGAAGTCCATTTACCTGAACTCCATTGTAGTCTGAAGCTGGAGAGCTCAGCCAAAAGCCAGCAATCCCCCAAGTTACCAGCTGACTATAGGATAGAAAGGAATAGGATGGAAAAGGAATCCCAACTCGCTTCCAAATCAGTTCCTGCCAACGTTGCTCCCCTGAGGTTACAGTTCTTTAGATTGGTGTTTCTCAGCGTTGCAACTTGGAGGTTAATTCCTGTCATCTGACTGCCCTCCATGGCCACTCCTTTCAGGTTGGCACCTGGAACACACACAGAAAGGAGTTCTGGGAGGAAAACCAGTCAGAAACACAGCAGCTCCACACTGGTGCTGCCTCAGAGCTGTGTGAATTGGAGGAGGACAAGGGGATTTTGGGCTGAGATGGTCACAGACTCAGTGCAGCCCTTGTGGGCCCTTCTCAGGGTTGGACAAACCACAGCTGGACCTTTTCTGGGCCATACAAATGTACAAACACAGGCTTCAGTTGGCACAGATTCACAAGGCAAAACCTTCTTACCTTCCAGATGAGCTTTAAGGCCTGATGGGTCCCCAGAGTTGCAGCCTTTCAGAGACACTCCCTCTGCGTTAGAGCGCAGCATCTTCACCCCTGGCAGGTTGGCACACTGGCACAGACAGGAGTCACTGAGAGCCGGAAGAACAACACCAAAGACAATCAAGAAGACACTTTTAATTTCTGCTTTGGCAGTCAATCCCATTAAATCATTACTGGGAGGAAGTGTAAAAGCTTTGGGAACCAGAACAACTCTAGAATCTATTTAAGAACTCGATGTTTTACACCGCTCTGTTTGTTCCAGCTCCTCTCTGTTAACACAAGCCCAGCCTTCCCAAGCTGCAGCAGCTCTTCCATCCAGCACAGAGCCTGACAGGTCAGCCCTCTCCAGGCTGGTACAGCACAGGTTGGCACGGGCCAGGTTGCAGCGGCTCAGATTGGCCACCTTGAAGTTGATTTAACAAAGATCCAGGTGGGAAAGATCTGCTCCACTGAAACTGAGACCCTGGAAATTAATATTTACAGGGTATAAATATCTAGGTATAAATCTATGGATAGAAATGTATTAAAATATATCCTGTCTAGAAATATAGACAGATACAAGATAGATACAGACACACACAGGTCCTGGGAGGAGCTGAAGACACCCCACCAGGGAAGGGGGCTTAGAAAAAGGAGGGAGAGGGACTTCTTATATGGGCCTGGAGGGACAGGACAAGGGACAATGGTTTTTAAACAGGGTTAGATGGGAGACTGGGAAGAAATCCTTCCCTGGGAGGGTGGGGAGGGGAGGGGATGGAATTCCCAGAGAAGCTGTGGCTGCCCCTGGATCCCTGCAAGTGTCCAAGGACAGGATAGATCAACCTGGTCTAGTGGAAGGTGTCCCTGCCCATGGCAGGGGGTGGAATGAGAAGACCTTTAAGGTCCCTTCCAACCCAAACCAGTCCATGATTCTATACAGATAAATACACACAAGACCATTTATTCTACTACTTCAGACTAATGAAATCTAAATGCAAAGCTCTCAAAAAATGTCCTTGGTTCATTTTACATTTCAACAAATTGCTCCTCCAGCAAAGCTTCCCCCGAAAGCAGGATTGCAGCCCAAACCACCCTGGAATTCCAAGTCAAGGTCACTGTGCCACAGCTCAGAATCCAAACTCAGTTCAAGAGAACACATTGTTTGCATTTCACGTTGCCACATTCCAGCACCAGACACCAACACTCCAGAGAGGGACAGCACAAGGGGCAGTGGTTTTAACAGAAAAGAGGGAGGTTTAGATGAGATGTTGAGAAGAAATTCCTAGAACTTTGTTAGAAAGAGAAATGTGTTCTCAGCTGACAGTGCAGCTCGGACTTGGGAGGTGTTGCCAGCAGGAACCGGACCAACTCCTTGCGAGAGGTGGGAGAGTGATCCTCAGCTGGCTGGGAATTCTGTTGGGAATGTTGTTCAACTGACTTACAGCACTAAATTACACATCCCCTGCCAGAGCAGGGCAGGGGCATTCAGGTCTTCAAACAAATTCCCTTCATGGCTATTTCCAGGGGTTCAATTAGCAAATCAAGACCAAAAAACCTGGCTTCCTGCAGGACACCTGGAAACCAAGAGTTTGTTATTTCCAGGGAACTGTTAATCCAGAAATCACCCTTCTCCCTACTGGAGAACAACCACAGACATTGTATTAGATGGAACTGGGCAGAGGAAAAGCTTGCTTGCAGCTAAAAGGAAAAAAAAAATCACTCAGCCAGGATGTTTGCAACACCCAACACCAGCATTGGGTTAAAGGTATCAGCTCCAGAATTCCAGCCAGACATGAATCCAGGATGGACAACTTTCAATGCTCCCAAGATAAACAAAGAGCCTGTCTTCATTAAATCAAGCAACATCTTCATTAAATCAAGCAACGTGGACCTGCAATGCTGTAAGGGGGATACTTTTGAATTAGATGATCAGTGGAGCATAGAGGTGTGAGAAAGAATATATATTAGGATGTGAAACCAGCCAGAGTGTTGCACAATGTAACTTTATGGCACAAGTTAACTGTAAGGTCCATTGTGTTTTTTAGCAAGTCAACTTGATGTCCCTCATGATCCGAGCTGAGTTCCTTCTTGGCTTGGCTCCATGCTGCAAGATGGATACAAATACCCTTGAAACACAATGGGAGAGGTCGTCCATAGGGGTGAGAAAGATGATGATGAGAGGAAGATTGTGTGGGCAGGGGTCGCTCGCCCCTTGCCCTACAGCAGGGCATGCGCAGACTGTTGCTCTCAGGTGATGAACAGGCGGGGTTTGGCTGCCACTCAGGCATCACCTTATACTGTGTCCTGGCCCTACGTGGTGTAATGTAGAGCTGCTAAAATGGGGTGTCAGGACTGCTGGGGTGAGCGATGCTCATCCTTCACTCGAGACTGTTGCTCCGTGGGGACGCCCGCTAAGCATGGGCACCGACCAGCTGCTGCAGATCCTGGCAGCCCTGGCCTGTCTGTGTGGGTAAGCACAGTTTATTGATAGGAAGCAACCGAGAAAGCAAAGGTTTTATATCCTTTTTTGGAATCCTTTTAATTCCCTTTTTACTGGTTAATACTGTATTAAAAGCTGTTCATAGTATTGTAGAAATGCCAACTGACAAAGTAGTTTTTTTATACCCTTTTTCAGCTTTTGATTCTCTTTGCTAGTTTTTTATTCTCACTGCAATAAAAGATTTTTTGTAGTGTTTGAATGTCTGTTGTGCTTGTCTTTATTCTGGGCATGTATTCAAATGAACTAATACCCGGGGGCACAGCTCTTTGGGGCAGGAGACGGGCAGCACCCTTACCAGGACTCGGGGCGGTGGCAGGTCTCCTTGGGCCAGGACTTGCCACAGCTGCTGATTTGGGTGCAGCCCTGGCCAAAGAGCTCCCAGCAGCATTGGAACCCTTGCCCACACTTTCCTTCTCGGTGTCACACCCCCCGTGTTTAGGATGGCCACCAGCCAGCACTTCTCCCAAGGAGGCCGTGGCAGCTTGTGTGGAAGGCCCCGTGCCCTTCCCGCTGCGGCTGCGTCGGCGGCTGAGGGGGCTCCTTGTGCTGCCGTGAGCAGGCACAGGAGAGGAGTGTTTGCTCATTTCTTGAGCCGTTGCCACAGTTCATGTCCAGCCAGATTAGATACTTCAGAGAGCGGATTCCCTCCAAGGTGGGGCATGTTGGCCGGGCTGGGGGAGGCCCCAGGCCACGTGGCACCGTGTCACAGGGCCCTTTGTGACACGCTGGGCGTGGCCAGTGGGATGGAAGGGGCAGGGTGTCCAAGGGCCCTTTATGACCCGTGGTGACAGAGGTGCTGCTGGTGACACGGCCACAGTGTCAACAGTGCTCCTCGGAGCAGGCGACGGGACAGGACGGGACAGAGCGGAGCTGTGCGGAGCCCCCGTGCAGCCAACTCGTGCCTTGCCGACCCGGAGCGTTTTGGAGGATTTTCTCATTTCCAGGTGCCCTCGAGGCTTTTCTGTGTTACTTGGAGACCCGGAGTTTCTCCGAGGCGTCTCCAATCCCTGTGGCAGGTGGCCTCAAGGCCATTCTGCAGGACTTAGTGACCCGGAGCTTCTCCGAGGTGTCTCTCTTGCAGGTGCCCTCGACACCAGACTGTGGCATGGCAGGGAGACGCTTCAGCCTGCTCAGGCTGCTCCGGAGGAAGAAGGAGGAGGAGGAAAGCCCTGGGGCTGCTGCAGCGCAGCAGTCTGAAGAGGTGCAGCAGGTGCAGCCCCCGCAGGAGGGTGAGTGCTGGAGCTGGGCCACAGGGCTGGTGGCTGCAGCCCCCATGGCCTCATCCTGTCCCATCCCCTCTGGACATGCCCAGGGAAAGGGAGGGGGGCAGAGGGGCCGGGGCTGATCTCCTGGCAGCCGTGCTCCATCCACTGGGCATCCTTCCTGCTCCTGGAGCCCAGGCCTGGGCTGTGTTCTCCGGCCTCTCCCGCACACCCTCAGCTCTGAGCGCGCTCGCTCTTTGCCAGATGCAGGCCAGGAGCGGACAGAAGAGCAGCTCCGTGCCCGTGGCCGCTTCCGCAGGGCAGCACAGGTACCTGCAGCCATCCCCTCCTGGGCTGGGCGTGCTGTCACTGCTCAGCCCAGCACCGCTGTCAGAGCCCTCCAGGGGGCATCCATCTCTTCCCTGCCCTTCTTTCTCCTGCAGACGTTTATGAAATTCGTGGGGAGTCGGCATAGGAAGTCCAGGATCGCATCAGCTGATGTCGAGGCCCAGCCTGACACCATCCTGACCCAGCTGAAGCCAAAGCCTGATGTCAGCACCACGGCGACTGCTGGCACAGCAAAGTGTGACACCGCAACCAGTGATCACACAACCCACTGGGAGACCACCTGGAGCGATGCCGTGTCACACTGTGACTCTGCGCTGCCTGGGCTCACGGAGGAGGCCGACGCCGCAACGACGGAGGGCGTGGCGAGCACTGACGCCGCGCCTGTTCAGCGCCTGGCCGATGCCCCCAGCCTGGACTTTCTTGGGGAGAGAGCTGTCTCTGCTGAAGTAAGCAGCCTGTGGCCCCCCAAGATGGGTGTGCTGGGCCCCCTCAGCCTTTGAGGCGGGCACAGTGTGCTGGGAAGGGAAGCATTTCTCGGGGGAAGCTGGGCAAGTTGCTCACTCTGGCAGCTCTCCAGCTCTCCCCCGTGCATCCTCCAGGCCAGACTGAGGCACTTGGGCACCTGGGGCTACTCAAGGCATCTCCAGTCCCTGGGGCAGGTGCCCTGGAGGCCAGAGGGTGGGACTGGATGAGGCGGAGCATTTCCCAGGTTTTACTCTTGCAGCTGCCTTCAAGGCACGACTGCAGGACTTGGGGAGCCAAAGCATTTCCATGGCATCTCTGCTGCAGGCAGCCATAACGCCAGACAGAGACGTGCAGCAGAGCCCCCCCACGGTGCCCAAGCTGGCCTGGGTGAAGGAGGAGGAGGAGGAGCAGGAGGAGGAGGAGGAGGAGGAGGAGGAGGAGGAGGAAAGCCCTGGGGCTGCTCCAGCACAGCAGCCTGAAGAGGTGCAGCAGGTGCAGCCCCCACAGGAGGGTGAGTGTTGGAGCTGGGCCACAGGGCTGGTGGCTGCAGCCCCCTTGGCCTCATCCTGTCCCATCCCCTCTGGACATGCCCAGGGAAAGAGAGGGGGGCAGAGGGGCCGGGGCTGATCTCCCGGCAGCCGTGCTCCATCCACTGGGCATCCCGGGGCTGGCCCTGCTCCTGGAGCCCAGGCCTGGGCTGTGTTCTCCGGCCTCTCCCGCACACCCTCAGCTCTGAGTGCGCTCGCTCTTTGCCAGATGCAGGCCAGGAGCGGACAGAAGAGCAGCTCCGTGCCCGTGGCCGCTTCCGCAGGGCAGCACAGGTACCTGCAGCCATCCCCTCCTGGGCTGGGCCTGCTGTCACTGCTCAGCCCAGCACCGCTGTCGCAGCCCTCCAGGGGACATCCATCTCTTCCTTGCCTTCCTCCTCTAGCTGGTTTGCAGATTCATCAGGTGCATTTGGCGTGAAGAGACCACTTTCATGGCCACTGGGGGCACGGCAAACTGGGACCTCTTCAATGCCCAGACCAGCGCTGCCCTGCTGGATTTGCTTGTGGAGAGCGGTGTCTACACAGGGAAGCAAGTAAGCAGCCTGTGGCCAGGGCTCCAGTGCCCCAGGGATGCTGTGGCCCCTCACGCCGTCTGCGCTGGGCCCCCTCAGCCTTTGAGAGCAGCAGAGTGTGGTGGCAAGGGGAGCACTTCTTGGGGGAAGCTGGGCAAGTTGCTGGCTCTGGCAGCTCTCCAACTGTTCCCCGTGTCCCCTCCAGGTGCCGGCCATAGTCAGGTGCATCCACCAGTGGCTCACGTCCAATGTGTCGGCTGAGCACAGGCTGGACAAGACTCTTGTCCTGCTGACCGAGGCACACCCTGTGGATGTTGCAGTGACCCTGCTGCGCTCTGCCCCAGCCTGTGACAGGTATGGGGCCCACCTGCCTTGAGGGCTCCCCTGCCTTTAGACCCCATCCCCCTGCACAACCTGTCCCAAATGGTGTGCCAGAGAGATGGAGACTTCCAGGACACTCCAGCTCCTCTCTTTGCCAGCTTTGGCATGTCCAGCCCCCAATCCTGAGGCCAGCCTGCCTCCCTGCCCCACAAGGCACCGTGGCTCTGTCACCTGGGCCCTGCAGATGCCCAGGCCACAGCGCTGTGTCCCAGACCCCCCTGAGCCAGAGTTCTGACTCCACAGAGCTGCTCGCACCATGTGGAGGACGCTCATCTCCTCCAGAGGGACTAAGGAGCCGGTGCTGCAGATCCTCTTCCGTGCGCTGGAATTCTGGCCAGCGCACAGGACACGCACCTCGGATGGGGATGAGAGCGATGTCTTTGCCCTGGCTGTGAGTTTATTGAGCTGGCCTCTGCTCACCCCCAGCTTTCCTCTGGGATACCTTTTCATCCTCCCTCACCACTGCTTCTCCCTGCCCCAGGCACTGGGCTGCAACCCTGGCTTAGGGGCAAGTTCAGGGCCAGCAGGCCGGGGGATTCCCCTGTGTCTCCCCTGGCCTCTCCCTGCCATGCTGGGGCCCTACCACATGGACATCTGGGCCCTGAGAGCTGTCTCTGGGTGCTTTGTCTTTGGCAGGCAACTGTGGCACTCTGGGAGATCCTCCAGCTGCCCTGGTGCCCAGGGGCAGTGAAGACCAATTTGCCCCGCCTCCTTCTGACTCTGCTCTTCCAAGTTTTCATCAGCACAGAGGAGATGTCAGAGGAGGTCGAGACCTTCTGGGGGCAATGCCGGGAGCAGCGCAGCCTTCCCCCCAACCCCAACAGGTGCTCCATCCCAGTCCTCTCTCCCTGCCACGCCCTCGGGGCTGGGGCCGGGGCTCTGCGCCTGACCTGGGCTGTGCTCTGCACACAGGTTTGCAGTGCAGACCGTGAAAGCCCTGCTGCGCCAGCTGCTGGATGAGGACGTGGTGATGGTGATCCATCGCAAGTGTGGCTGGGACATGCTCCTCAAGGCTGACAGCCACCACTATGCAGTGGGTCTGCTGGCCAGGTGAGAGCCCTTTCTCCCCACTGCCCCCGGCATTCCTGCCCTGTGCACAGGCCACCCCACACAGTGCCCGTGCTGCTGGGCCAGAGGGCCTTGGCAGCCAGGGATGGCTGAGCAGAGTGGCAAAGGCGGAGAGGGGCGGCTGCACAGGAGGAGCCACCTCCCAAAGCGCCCATGTCCCCTCCTGGGCTGGTGGCCAAAGATCAGGCCTGTGTGAGTGAGTCCCAGGGGAGCTTTACCCACCTGGCTCAGGGTCTCTGGTGCCTTTATTCCCCCTTGCAGGGAGCTGTGCCGTGTCTCCCGCTCCTTCTGCCGCAGCGTCGCTGCCAACCTGCTCCCGCGGCTCAGCAGGGAAGAGCCCCTGTGGGAACTGCCTGCCCTGGCATTCCTGGTGGAGGTGAGCCTGATGGCGAGCGCTGCCTGGCCCAGCTGCCTCCCCCTCTCTGCCCTCTCACAGCCGCAGCCGCCTGGGACGGTGCCTGCACCCTGTGCTGCTGCCTGGGCCCAGCCCCGGGCGGGTCCGGGCTCCTGCCGGCCGGGCACCCCATCACTGCTCCCTGCCTTTCAGGTGCTGCACTGCCTGAACCCCAGACAATGCGGGCTCAGCGTCCTGCAGATTATTTCAAGGCGCCTGCGGAGTGAGTGCCCCGAGAGGCGTCGCCTGGCGCTCCGAGGCCTGGTGGTGATCAGCAAGGCTCCCGCACTGGTGAGCAGGGGGCAGGGGCTGAAGCCGGGCCGGCAGCGTGCGGCTGTGCAAGGCAGTAGCTTGGCCTTGGCTGGCCTTTGGCAGCTGTGCCAGCTGCTCCCAGCTCTCCTCCTCCCCGTTCAGCTGCCCGACTCCTTTGGGACGCGCCTTTGGCCTCTGGGCCCCGCGGCAGCAGCGTGGGGCTGCACCACAGCATTGTCTTCCACACAGGCTAAGAGCATCTGGAGCCTGAATGAAGGCCTCCTGGAGCTACTGCAGGATGCAGACACAGACGCGGTTGAGATGACCCTCTCTGCGTTGATCAATGTGCTGCACTTGAAAGTCATCCAAGTATCCAGCCCCACTGCCCTTAAATTGCTTGAGGCGCTGCGGCCACTCTTTGACAATGTAAGGCTCTGTGTCCCTCATCGTGGGCACTGAGTGCTGCCAGGAAACTTTGGGCCCAGTGTCTTTTCAGGCCTGTGCCCCGGTGGGCCTGGAGAAGCCTGTGCTGAGGTCTTTCGCTCTTTCTTTGCAGGAGGAGCACAGCCAGCTGCAGCAGCTCTCCATGGTCCTCTTCCGGGAGGTGATGCAGGCAACAGAGAGGAGCAAGAGCCTAAAGCCACACATCTACCTGAGGCTGGTGCCATTCTACTTCAACTGGCACGATGAGAACCAGCGTGTGGCAGAGGTGAGGACTCGTGGGCTCTGGTGTCCCCATGGCAGGAGGCTGCTGTGCCACCTGCCCTGGCCCACGGTTGCCTGCAGCCTCCTCCTGGCCTTGGTGTAGGGATGTGGGTGCTGTGCCCTGGGCTGCGGTGCCATGGCCCGCTCTCTGTTGCTCTGCAGGCCTCTCGGGAAGCACTGTTTGGTGCAGCCAGGTTCCTGAAGTGGAGGGATCTTGAGCACTTGGTGACCA